CCCTTGAAGCAGATAGACTCTGAACACTTACAAAATAGGGCATCAAGGTAAATCTCAGAGAAACAAACACATTTGTGCTGAAGTATGACTATGCTGCAATTAATTCTGAAGAAAACGGTCTTAAAATTTACTTGAGAACCTCAAGCAACAAATACTATGCTGTTGTCTCCTAAGAATTTAAAAGGTAATTGTTTGTAACCTTTTAGATTAAATATGGATTGTATGTGTTACTGTGAATCCATGTGACGAGATTCATGGAAATCCATCCCCATGGGAATGGGAAATGCTGCTTTTTATATTGTCTGTGTATAAAATTTGATTATTTTTGGCTTACTTTTTGAGCTCTGAATATTTACAAGTAGAATCCAACTGGGGACTTGCACAAGCAGAAACTCTGAAAAAACTGTTGAACACACGGCCAGTTTGGTAAAGTTAATTTTTTTTTTTTTTTTGCTTTTTTTTTTTCCTCAGTGTTAACTTTATAATTCTTGCCTGAAGTCAGAGCTGGCAGATAAGTTTTCTAAAAGCCCGAGGTATAAACGAACTGTATGCTATTTCCATGCATATGCAGGCCCTCCTGGAAGAAGCTGTAGCTTACCCTCTGTGTGCTGCCTCCTTACCAGTCTGGGGGTGGGTTTGCCCTAAGTGATGGTAGGAGCTGTTTTACCAATATCATTTCGTGGATTTGCCACCAGAGGGAGTAACGTTAATTCTTTGTAAGACTTCATACTAGGAGCTGCGTATGTACATACCTTTTCTTGACAGTATACTTTTATGCTGTGCTAACTCCTGCTTCTTTGTGGGAAGTTTGCAAGTGCCTTTGCTGACTATAGCCTTGCCTTTCCTTCTGCCTCTAGATTGGTAAAAGCCTAGGAGAAATCAGGAATAACCCTAGCCTGTTCTGTGTTCAAGCATGTGTAACATACACAGTAATTCATGCAGGTACACAAATTTAACATTATTTAAACTGTAATTTCTGCAACATTTCTGTCTCTGCAGGTGACAGGTGACTATCACTTCAGGGACAAGAAAATGTGACAGTGTGGCTAATTAGGATCATTTTTTTGTGTGCCATTTCTGTGTGGTCATGATAATACACCGCATGCTACATGGATAAAGACTGGGGAGGCAATGTTGTATTCTCCTTTCCTCCCCTGCTACAATTTCTTGAGAGTCAGAAGTGAGGGGCCCTCCCAAATGACATGTCTGTTGAGTAAGGTTACTCCTTCTCAAGTTGAAAGAGACTCAGAAAAGCCCCCAAACCCAACAAAACAAAACAAAGCAAACAAAGAAACAAACAAACGTGACCTCAGGTCTTTGCTGAAAGTCCAGCAAAGAAATATGGAACTTAACAATTTTGTGTCAAAAGGAGGTGCTATGCGGTTTAATGGACGCCTCTCACCTTCCTACTGACCGATTAATACTCAAAGATCAGTCATAAAAATTTCCGTAGGTCATATAAATCTTTTGTAAAGCAAACCAAAACACAGTAACAATAGGCAGCAAACGATTAACTTACCAGATTCCCTAACATCCTTCTCCCTGATTGCCATTTAGGTTCCTTGTTACTGACTCTCTTAACAGAAAAGACTGAACATACTGACAATTTAGGCACTCTGTGGCTACTGTTGTATGACGTGCTGCTTGCCCAGGATGAAAATTTATCAGCTGCTTTGTTATTTTTTTCCTCTTTTGGAATCTTGAGTTTTGTGATTTGAACCTTAAGATCTCTTTGGCTCCCTTCGTCTACAAACCCCTAAAAAGCTGAAGTAAATTAACATTAGGCTAGACTAAATTTTGTGACCCCGTGAAGCTTTTTTCTGCTTCTAAGGCTGGCTCTTTTGTGGTTGGTTTGCTTTTTAAGGTCAGGTCCTTCTGGCTATCAAATCTGTGGTAGAAGGGTCAGAAGCATATTAAGAAAACTGTTAGCAAAATAAATGTTAGTATTGTCATAATGTGCTAATGTCTCTATAGGACATATGGAGGCTTCATTTTCAGTGATGTATGATGAAATGAGGAAGAGATTTTTACTGTACCTGCCCTGCTTTGAGATCTTCTTAATGACTATTTGTTTTTAAACTCTTTTTCAGGATATGGAAGCAAAATGACTGAACGTCACTAAATGCACTGATGTGTCAGAAATATGGATTTTATTTATACTTAAAGACTTGCGTTGAGGGGGCTTTGTTTCATATTATATCTTTTGTTTTCCCTAGGCAGTGTTTTAAAAAGTTATGTACATGCATAATCATATGCAGCACTTTATTGCTGATTTTTGGCAGTGCACAAGAGCAAAAATTTAATTTGCTATTTTGCAAAAGTGCATTGTGTTTATGTAATGGATTTGTGCATCAGTTGCAGTCTGTAACATAGTTAAGTGTTTTAATTGGCAGAACACCCACATCAAGACTTGTTTGTTTTTCTGATAAGGAAAATGCCAGCTTGGCTGGTCCATATGTTCTGTTCAAATAAGAAGTGACACGTTCACATGCAATAGCCATTCTTTTGAAATGAAAAAGTAACATGAAATTAATGTGGAATAGGAGCATATTTATGCATAATCATGTATTTTTTGTTAATTTTCAGAAATAGCAAATATTTTTGCTAATGAAAGCTGATCAGCTTGCATTTTAAATGCTTGCGGTTTCTGACTGTATCTGTTGATGACCAGAGTAATATATGTTAAAATCAAAGTGTACATTCTTTCCTTTTTTTTTCCTCAGGAGGATTTATGTGGTCTTTATTGTTTAGTGAATAATTATTTACTTCCAGAAGATTTAAAACTTAGTATGGTGCAATGTAACAATACTTTAAAAAATTTGTTAAACGGGTTATAGGATGGAAAGAAAAACAAAAGTCAGAGAGTTCATTTAATAAAATGCATCCATCCTTTTCAGCTGCCAGTCATGAAGGAGCTTGACAGGATACTAGGGCTCCACAGCTGCAGAATCTATTTCTGATTCTTCAGGGGAAATTGGAAAACTTCCACACTCTTTGCCAGCCTGAGAATCCCACATTAGGCATCTGCTCTGCTCTTTCTGCAGAAAGGGGACCCTGACATTGCCCAGCTGTCAGAGATGGCATTTGAGCTCCTGCTGATAATATCAGGGGAACTCCACTTAGGCTCTGATCCTGATATCTCAACAGAGTGGGGAAAAAAATATTCCAGCTGCTTTCAGTTCCTTTTGTTCGTAGGTAATTTGTAGGAATTATTCAAAGTTGTGTTCTGGCTACGACCTGGCGTTGAACCAAACAGTCCTCATTTCTTGGAGTGCTAATTTTTCTTGTAAAAGGAAATTTTTCTTTCATGAGATGAAGTAGATTTCATCTTTGACTTCTCATTAATGACTAAACTTTAAAGTAGAAAAATACTAATTTTTAAGGACATAACTAATGCCAATACACAACAAAATAGCTTTTTTTGTTAAAATCTGTGTCCTTTGACTCACATTGGCTGCACTTGTCAGTGAAAACCATTGTATTATTGAAAATCAAGCCAGGCATATTGCATGTAATAAATGTTCTTGTAGTTTGATATGAAAAACCAGTAACTGGATGAGAACCAGCTGTTCACGTGGCTTTCTTTTCTTGTGTCTGACAAATACATTTGATGGTGATCACAATGTACTTTACTACTTTTTTCAGACAGCATGTGTTGAAATGTTACAGAGTTGAAAGTACTTAAGTAAAATAGGGCAAGTCTGGACATGAGAAAAACCACTTGCATTGTCATCTGGATGATTTGGATTTGTGAAATATTTGATCAAATACATTATTTGCTTCTTTATAATTCTTTAAGTTTTGATGTGAAAACATTTTCTGCTTATTGCCGCCCTTAAGATTTCTATGCCATCCTCATGCGATCATGAACTCTAAATCTTTAGATTTGTGACAAAGTATACTTAATAGAGAAACGGTGAAGACCACAGCAGTTCAGGAGTGCACAACAAAAAATCATACTGCAGCCCATTTCCAGGTGATAGATATTCACTACCTTTCTTCCATTTGATGTTATACCTATAAAAAAATTAAGATAATTAAGATAGATTTCAAAGATTTTGTAGTGATATTATGGATAGGTAAATCTCATTTATTAATTCAGAAACCCTGATAATTGTAAAAAGAAAAAAATCTAACAGCCACACTAGCTGAGAAACTTCACATTTACAGAGGTAGTTGTGCACAATTTACAAAACACACAATTTTTATAAACAATATAATAACAATGAGGTCACAGAATGATTCCATTTGGAAGAAAGAGAAGAATTGTGCAACTGAAAACTTACTTTCATAGTTGTAAGTGCTTTGGTTTATATTTTAGATGCAAGCATGAGTTACACTGGAAAACTGAGGTGCAAGTCCCCGTCTATTGGCTGGTCTGTTCTTGCAAGATTTGCGTACAGTGCTGCTGCTGATTGAGAAAGGCATGCTTAAGTGTGAAGAGTTCACTTTTTAGGGAAGAGGTCCAGGATGTAAATTGCGCCCTTGAATACATGTTCTTTGGTAGACTGGATTTCCCACTTGACATAAATCATAAGATACAGAACAATGATGTGTGTGCCTCATTCTGAGGGCCATTGAAGATATCTTTGAAGTTATAGCAATCCTTTCTCTTGTTGGTCTTGGAAGTTTTGCCTTCTAACCTGCAGCACATTTATTTTTAGAATTAGCTTGGAATTTATTAAAATAAGCTGTAGAATTAATTGGAGTTTAGTATCTTTCTAGATTTGTTGCTAGAGCTGTATTGCAGGGTTGACAACGGGCTAGTGTTTTTTCTGAGTGTTTTTGAAACACATGGACATCCCTGAGCATCTAAAGAATTTTTATTATATCATTGCTTGTGTATTTTTAAGGATTATACTGTGATCTGGTGCAGAGTATCAAATGTAGTAACAGCTTGTCTTTTACGTTCTTGAGTCAATCTCCAATTTTTATTGGCACTTATATATTTCATTGTTTATTTTATTAAATGAAATCTGTTTCTTTTATGTCTTGTGCAGAATGTGAAAGATGATGGGCAGCATGTATGGAGACTGAAACATTTTAACAAGCCTGCCTACTGCAATCTTTGTTTGAACATGCTAATAGGAGTAGGCAAGCAAGGTCTCTGCTGTTCTTGTGAGTATAAGCATTTCAGTGTCCATCTGCATATATGTCTGTTCCTAGAAGGGATGCAATCACTATGTAACAAAGAACTTGTAGTTTCCCAGTAGCCAACCCTTTACCAGTGCAATGTTGTTTTCCCTTGAAGGTTCCATTTTCAATTGTTCAAGATATGGGGCTTTCAGTACTCTCATTTGAGGAGGTTTTTGGTATTACAGTATCTGCCAATGTTAAGGTGTTCCCTTTTGTATTCTGCCTCTACTTTTTATTTCTTCTTTATTAGCAAGTATCATGTTTAAGATTCAGCATTATATTTCTGTCATTGTTTTCCTCTTTTGTATTTATAAATAATTATTCATATTCTTTATTAAGCATTGACTAGCCTAGCATCTAATTCCCATATTTATTCATTCATATTTTCCTCAGAATTCTTGCTTTATTAATTGTAATGGTCAAAATCCCAGTTTCCCCCAAACTGGCATCCAGTCCAGTTTCCATAAAAACTCAGAAAACTACTGCATCTATTCTGATTTGCATAAGACTATTAAATGCAGTTAGTATAGTTCAATTCATTGAGTTGTGTCTTTGTTTCCTAATAATCCGTGTTTGACCAGCTCATAACCTGTATCTTGATAACCTATATCTTGCCAAAGGACCTCTCATCTCTATTTGAATGTTTCAAGAGATGGATGATCCATATCTTTCTTTTGTGGTGTGTTCCCCTGATTAATCATCTTTTTTTAACAGAGACTTATTTTCTGATGTGACTATGTCTAATAGACAGTTCCAATGATGGTTCATGTTAAGCACTGCTCCATTAGATTAATGAGATCTGTAGTACCCGCTGTATTCTCCTCATGAAGATACCAAGTCACCTTTCATTCTTCTTCTTGATAAATTAACCAGTTTCTTAGTATAACCTACCTTCTCCATTTCTGGAATGAAAGGTAGCCCATCACAGCTGATCAGAACCTTTCTCATTGTACAATTCTATTAATTTAGTTTGAGACTACTTTAAATGAATGAGAGTTTTGGAGTCAGCCACTTCTCTGTGGGCCACAAACCTCTTTAAAACATAATTCAGATATAAATCCTCCATTTATTGGTTTTCACATCATATGATTTCAGCCACAGTATTTTAGAATAAGAGATGCATTCATTAAAAGCAATTCAAACAAACAGAAATCTTAAAACATCAGTTTAATAAATGCTGGTGACAGTAACAGAATATACCTTAAATGCTGAATTGACTGTCAGATCTTGAACTGTTACATCCTTCAGTATTGTTTTATGTCAAAGTGATGTAAAGAGGCTTACTTTATCCTGATGAAGAAACCTAAGACTCAAGCGTGTTAGAGAAAAATCTGTTGAACAAATAGCATGGATCTTCTCCTTCTGTAGTTATTGGTAACGTGTAGACAAGACTTTCTCTGTTGTATAAGGTAAAAGCTGTAATTTTCTCTGTTGCAAAACACCTCTTTTAAATTTATTTGTTATTGTGCTTGGCATTTATTTGGTGAGAATGATGGTCCCAGTTAGAGTACCTGAAGAACTTCCACATGTTCCTCTCACTTACTTCACACAGGAAGGGACGTGGATCTTCATACAAAATGATTACTCTATTTCTATATTTTGCTAAGCTTCTCCTCCTACATATTTTCAAAGCACTGCTATAGATTTCATTATTTGTGTTTTAGATTGTGTGGGAGGAAAAAAAAAACAACAGGGAGACTGCAGGGGGCCTCACTATCCCTCCATGGTCCAATCAACAATGTTACTCCCTGCAGTTTGTCTGATTAATGGCTGCACCTCCCGCTGGGTTTGTGTAATAGGTGCAAGCAAGGTGTTTAGAAGTACTTTGTGCTTAATTGCTCTTGAGGTCAAAAGCAGGAGACATATATGATGCAGGGTATTCATTCTCAGTTCTTAATAGTTGATTCTATTGAATGCAGCTATAAGTAGTGACTTTATTTCCTCATCTAGGCACTGTTGCAGTATTGTTAACTATTCGGTCGTCACAGAAATCTGCTTATAGAGTTTTATAGTTAGGAAATCTTTGCATTGTACTCTGACATTTGTATATTTTCCAAATGCAGCTAGTGTGATCTTTACAGACCTGGTCAACAAAGATAGTTGCGCAAAACAGGTAGGGAAGGGTTAGAAAAGAAAGCTTCTCTGGAGGTAGTGTTTGGGAAAGTAAGAGTTAAACTTGGGATGATTGCATGATATGCATGAAAACAATTGCTATCTGGAAATGGACTAATCAACCATTTAAGATTTATAAATCAATAGAAAGAACAACATAAACTCATTGGCTTTTTTTTTGTGCTTGCCAGCTGCTCTCATGCCTATAGTTTGTAAAATATAGATTTCTTTCTACTAGCAAATGACACCAAACCATTTGGCAGTCATCAATTTGTCTTTAATATTTTTGTCACTTGGGAATTATTGTGAAAAAATTTAGTGAGCTCTTATTTAATTAAGCATTTCCTGTTATGCAATGATAGTGCATTCTTGGATTTTTCACTTGCATAATATTTCCTGTACTAATTGGCCTTTTGTATTTCATGGAAAAGGCAGTCTAGTTTGAGTTTTCATTGACTGATTGGATTGATTGTATAGAGATGGCATGCTGGTAACATTATTTACTTAATAAAAATGTAGTCAGAAACACCATTGCCTCAGCATCTATTAATGTGTTTCTTTTTCCAGTTTGCAAGTATACAGTCCATGAACGCTGTGTCTCAAGAGCTCCTGCATCTTGCATCAAAACTTACGTGAAGTCTAAAAAGAATACTGATGTAAGTCTGGGGCAGCATTACCTTTGCCGGGAACCCGCTAATTTAGTTAACCCTATGTATATCCACACTTTTCTGTTGCAGGTAATGCACCATTTCTGGGTAGAAGGAAATTGTCCAACAAAATGTGATAAGTGTCACAAAACTATAAAATGTTACCAAGGCTTGACTGGACTTCACTGTGTTTGGTGTCAGATCACAGTGAGTACACTATAGTAAAACCTTTAGCATAGATTAGGGAGATAAAAATCTGCGTATCTTTTCATAGCCCCGTAATTCGAAAGGTCTCCTTCAGTTTTGTCATCAGAAATGGACAGTGTGTGTTTAAGAAACTATATATACAGAATGTTCATAGGTGTCCTTGGTTGTCACAACCAAATACACTTAAAGCAGTACTCTGCTTGAAGACAGCATGCAAACTGAAATAATGTTATTTCCAAAGAACAATAGCAATAATATACATTCTAAAGAGCAGAATTCCCAATATATATATTGGAATGATTATAAAGGAATTTTTCAGTGCTGATAAGAGTCAAGGTCACTGTGAAGTCAAGGAAGAATCATGGTCTGTAGTGTACTGACAGACAAATGTAATTGAGGACATCTGGTAGGATGCAATGATTTCAAGTGCCTGGGAGTAATAGCAGAGACATCTCGGTAAAATACTAATCTGTGCACCAAGTCTGATACATACAACTTGTGTATACTCCTTATTCAGCAGTAACCAGTAACTGGAACTAATGACATTCAAGGAACACTACACTTACAAGTGATATCTTCATGCTAGAAGGAACAATGCCAGTATTTCTGTTCCGAGGCAGGGCAGGATTTAAATCTAAATGGGAAAAGATTCAGACCTCTTACAGGATTTCTATTATTATTATTACTACTACTATTACTATGGTTATTGTCATCATGATCATTATTATTATGGAATATCAGTCGTTTGTTCAGTGTTTTAAAGAATAATATCAGAGTGAGGCATTAGAGAATGTTTGTATTCAACATACAAGTTTGGATGCTTCATGACATATTTTCTTAACATAAGAATACAAAATGTGAAAAATCATCAAGGAAAATAGATCCAGGATACTTTCAGTGATAAGCTGTTATGATTACATAAAACCCAATATTTTACAAGGAAGCAAAAACGTAGTCCAGATTGCTGTCAAAATTTGGATAATTTATTTAGAGAATAAACACCCAATCCAAAATTTTCAAATGCAGATTAGACAATCACCATATCTGTTTAGGTAACTAAATAAGTGTTCTGCTGTATATATATGTATTACGTGTTTAGATCTGTGTGTATGTTTATATATCTATCTATATAACATTTCTGTATCTTTCAAGAAATACATGTTATGTAAAGCTCCCACTGGAAGTCAAAGAAAGTTGCAAATTCCATAGCTTCTCTGAAAAAATATTTTCCTACTGTTTTTATATCCAAGTGTGAATCTGGACCAGATTTTTAAAGGCTTTTTGCTTCCTGAAGATACACACCAAAAGTTATAAGACTTTCGTAAACACTGAGAAACAGTGAGGAAATACTGAGGAATAATTTCTCATTGAAATCATTGAGAATGAAGATGATAAATTCTTTTGAAAATATCTTAGGTACCTGTCTGCATGTTTTAATGCTTGAATTCCAATCAAAAATGGATGTATGTTTTTAGAGATGCAGATAGGAGAATATCGGCGCTGGCATATAATTTTCCAATTGTACTTCCATCAGAATTTTAAACATTTATGTTTTTATAAAAATAATGTTACATTTTCAAAAGAACTTCCTGAAACTTTTTATTTCTATGATTTCGAGTGTAAATTAGACATACAAGTGAAAAATGATTGTTTTCAAATTTTAGAAATACTGTAGTTTAAATTTCATTCTCAATCTCCTGTTTGCTTTTCATGCAATTCTACGTGAGCAGTATTTTTAGGCCTTTCTTCTCTAATAATAAAAACTTCTTTATTACTGAAAAAAACAATGTTTTAAATCTCAAACAGGTGCATAATTTTTGAATGGATGTTCTAGAGTTATTTAATTATCATCACATCCAGTATAGTCATGTTTCCATGTTCTTGTACAATAACGCATCAGGGGCTTGTTGCTAAAGTATTTTTATAGCGTAAGAGTATGTTAGGTATTACACAACCAATTCTGACCCTACCTTTCATGCATTTTAAATATTTCTCCTTCTTACGAGTCCATAGGGTCATTTTTGATGTCAAATGACTGATTCAAATCACAAAATTTTCAGAATTTTGAGATTATTTGCGCTAAGGAGGCTTGTTATACAGTGCTTTACTCTGGGCCTTGATTCCCTCTTCCATATTCTCTGTAGCTCTGTCCTCCACCATGATCTTATAAATGGGCTTTTTGTCAAGCTTTCTCTGCAGCAAATACAGATACGCTTACTTTCCAGGCATCTGGTTGTGAGGGAGGTAATGTTCTAAGGGAACTGGATTTGGGGTAAGGTAGTGGAAAATGTATTTAAAATCGGCTAAAATATTTTTGAGAGGAGATGCATATTATTTTCTTTTATTTTATTTCTTTTCATTCAAAGTTTTATTTTCATTAAAGCTACATATCTTCTACCATTTCTTTTGTCTGCTGTACATCAATTCTGTTGTCAAAGATCAGCAGAGACTAATAAGAAGATTAAGCTATTTTTTCATATATAAGTTTGCATGCCACCGAGTAGCAGAGCTGCTAATTATCACTGAATGTGTGAAGATACTTTTATTTGATGTAACGTGGCCTGGTGTGCCTTAATTATGGTACAAGTAGCCTTACCACTGAGGCAAAGAATTAGCATGACAAATGATTTAGATTACAGGGCTACCAAAATACCCTCATAATAGGGCTTTAATACTCAGAGTAAATCAAAATTCGTTAGACTTTTATTTTCTGTTGCTAAGTAACTGCCTGAGAAGGTAACTTTGCAGTATAAATGAATATGGACAAGACTAATATTAAGTTCAAAATTCAGAAATGTTATGTCTACATTAACTGTAGTAGATAACTTCATGAAGAACATATTACGGGTAAAGCCTATATATCAGGAGCTGATAAGATTTTATTGTAATTTTGATGGAGATCATACTGACATGGTTAAATTACCTAAGTAAAAATGAATCAGTCAATGGAAAAATATGATTTATAGATGTAACCATTGAACTACAGATTTTATAACAGCTGTTGAACCTGTTGAACTAATGCTGTATGCTACCTATTAACCCAAATATATCAGTTAATAAATAAGATTAATACTTCAAAATTTCTGATGTTTATTATCGTGACTGTTTTCCTCTAATGTAAATACACATATCTTCTCAAAAAATAAAATACTCATATTTTTGGGAAATGCATGCGTTAGCTGAAGAACTTAATGCACAGTTTATTCAATCAATGCAGAAAGAATAAACTTTCACTAAGTTTCACATTAACACTTGTATTTTTGTTGTGGCTATCTCTGATATTGTAAACTATGCCTACCACATCTAAATGATTTGCATGATCTGGATGCACAACTGTGCTTTTGTACCGTGTGGTAGGATGTATATGTTGAAATATTCTATTTAGAGACATTTGAATTGTATTAAATCCTACAGTATCAATAAGAACTCTTACTAATGCAAAATATTTTGATGAATATATTATTTTTATTTCTTGGGATTTTATGTTGATGTGGTATACACATTTTTCCCTTTCCCTTTTTTATTAGTACAGAATTGAGCCAGTATTCTTTCAATTAGTAGACGTGAGAATATTCTTTCTGTGTTCTCAGAGTAAATTTCTTTCCATTGCGTTCATGAAAACTGGATGAATGCTAGGAATAAACTACAATAAGGAGGATAATTCAGTGGGTTCCTCAGCAGTCAATAAAAGCTTAAACATTAATTCAAACAAACCCAAAAAGTCACCTATATTACTTAAAGCTCTTTATTATTCTTATATAATTCTCTTCTATATTTTGCATATATTTTCATAGATATTGCAGCATCAGAACTGAATCAGTTAAGACTTTATCAGCTTTAAATGGAAGTAGAGTTATATCAATAGTGCCAAAGGCTTTCCCAAATTCCTTTGCAACACACCCACAGCAATAGTACTATAATCCCTGATTCAATGTGAGAAGTTGTCTTATGAAACGAAGTTTTTGATCAAGAATAGGTATGGTCACTAATGACTATGCTGATGTCACTTAATTGTCAATGTAACATTGTTATTATATTGTATGCTGGACCAAATGTAGCAATTCCAGACTAGAAAGCATCTTGATCCACTGTTCTTCTTCATTTCAGTGTAAATTCATTGGTTTTGTCAGTCCAAAGATGTTTTCCACTGCACTGTTTCATTTCCCTTGTAGAACTATAGTAGCAATTAAATTAATTTAGTAATCTAAATTCACTCTATTCCAGTATTATAATTTAGGATTTTTCTATACTGTAGAAGTAAAAAGCTAAATCTTCCTTTTTTGTCTTCTCTTAGTTACATAATAAATGTGCTTCACATCTAAAACCCGAATGTGACTGTGGACCTTTGAAGGATCATATTTTACCGCCCACATCAATCTGCCCAGTAGTGTTGGTGAGTTGCTCATATGTTCCATTCTGATGAAAACCTCTGTCATAGGTAATGGATGAAACTGTGCTTGTACTGATTACTAGTACTGAGATTGTTGTTTTCACAGGACTATATAAACCTTAAACACAATGGGTAATCCCCGCTGATTAGTTATAGGAAGAAGCACATCAATTTATCCGCTGCATATTGCGTTTTCCTTTATGTGACAATGAACTTTCTGTAGGGCATACTATAGCTGAAGCTGACTCAGGTTTATCACTTAGTCAGACTGTACTTACCAGAAACTGTATAGGCAGAACACTACATTTTACATCTTTTATAGATCCAACTTCCCAGAATAATGAAGTTATTCTTAAGGACAGGTTTTGCTTGGGATGCATATTGTATATCTGTGATGCTGAGGTCTCTGATCTAAGCCGGAGGTTACCTAGAATGATGACACTGGTCTTGCAGCAAGCTATGCATCAACATTACGGTATATTTTATTCTGCAGTAGTGGACAGTAAATTTCTCTGTCCACAAAAACAATAACTCAATTCAATGAAAATAAAATGCATGCTCTTTGTAGGTTGTACTGAAGAAGCGAAGCAGTTTATCATGAAGAAAGATTTTCAGAGCTTAATAGATTAAATCAGATGTTTTATGCAGATAAAGGTCATAGCATCCTTGTATTCGTAGCAGAACAGACATGTGTGGTCTTCTTATTTTAAATATATTTCATAATAAAAATAAACTCCTGACCTTGAGAAGGCATAACTTATAACAGTGAGGAAAAAAAAAGAAAATTTACCTTCCAACCTCAAACCTGTTTTTGATAATTACAAATCATATTCATAGGTAATGTAAATTACTTGTTTTCTAATTAACTCTTTTGGCTGTTTGTTTAAGAATATCTTAAGGGATGAATGCTTAACTCTGACCCTTTACTTGAGTAAACTGGAAATATTCCATTGCTGTCAATGGAGGCAAAGCAATGGAAAGCTGGTTTAATATTTATGAAATATTTTTTAATATGTATATGATTTTTAAATATTTATTAAAAGTCCTAAGAGTGGTTTTCTAGTTCATCTGTAATGGTATTTTGATACTGTCAAGACATGTTCTGAATTATAGTAGTAACATTACCGTAAATGTGCGGACATTTTGCATTACATCATTTTATTTTCATGGTTTTGAGAGGTACTTTAAAAGTTAATATGTAGAAATCATGTTTGTTGGACTGTTCTTGCTTGATTGTTATTTATTGTTTGCCACTCTTGCCAAACTGAGTGAAACCGCTGCATGAAATTTCATCTTCAATTATATTTGTGTAACTCCATTTTCTTTTCAGGAGAGGAAGAGGTATAGAGGAATTATGATTTTCATTCCACAACTGGAGTTTAGTTAAGTTGTTTAGAGGATATATAAAACCACTCTAGAGTCAAAATCATCCTTGAATAGGTTTGTTTCATCTGCAAATTTTGAACGCATAAGCAGAAGTAAATATTTTTCCTGTATCAGATTTATGTTTCACTATTCACATACTAATAATGTAACATGAAGCATATATTTCAGCACTGTTTGTATATCGTTAGGAACAGAAAGTATGCTTTACTGTGATTTAATGGGAACTATATAATTTCACAGTATACTTGTTCATTAGTAAATTCTTCCAAAAGTGCATTAAAATCCTGAGTTTACTCAAATTACAAATAATACATCAGTGACCTGGCTAATAAGAATTCCTCCTAGAAACGATTGATTACAGTGTACATATTATTTATCTTAGTAATTTTTTAATTAGTTTCTACCATTTCCTGTTATGAGGATTCCTTTTGATAAATGTAGTACTTCAGTGAATGTGAAACCGGCACTCTCGAAATAACAGCAAAGCAGTAAATGTTTTTCAGTCAAAATCCTCTGAAGATACAATAGTAAGCATATCGCTTAATAGAAATGATATTTTTATACTTTTCAAATCATAAACTTGACAGTCAGAGGGTCTTTCATCCAGGACACACATTTAGCTTCACAGATCACTTGAGCAGTAGTATTCCTGGAGTGCTACTTATATGTGGAAGGAAAGAAAAAGCAGATAACTGTCTTGTCACAGTACCTTTTGTAGCAGGTTGTACCTTTTGGTACTTGGAGGTATCAGAGAAGAAGGCATCTCTTTCTACACTAAAAGAACCAAAAAGGGTTGTGGGAAAGACAGAATGGCAAATTGAAATGTTTTGTATCTTTCATCTCCCAAAAGTTTTGGCCCTCTCTTCCATTCATAACTTCGGAAGTGCAGACTTCTTCCTGAACCCGGTCTGTCGTAGTTCATCTTAGACGAAGATGCCTTCTCTAAGGGACAATTGGAAAATGTGCAATATCCCTTCATATTTCTTCTCTTTTGAGGAAATAACAGCATATATATATTTACCTCAGTCTCATCTGCCATGTCTCACTTGAGTTCTTACAAAGTCAAACCTAGATTCTTTCTGTAGAGGAAAAGAGAATTTTTTCATCAATTTCTCTTATATATGGCCATATATTATGCATGGAGTTACCAAACAAACTGCAGTTTGCATTTCTTTCATTTCTATCAGTGTCCAAAATCACTACTGAGACTGTGAAGAATAAATAGAAAAACTCCTCTTCCCAAATAGAAAAACTCCTCTTCCCAATCTTAATATCTCAGGGGGTGACATTTGTCTTCCTCCTTAACATGGCTATCTCAGCTAAGGTGACAGCCTAAATTATTGAGAGTCTCTTTAGACAATGGAGAAAGAGGTTCCTCTAAAAGGTGCTCATAAACCGGAGTGCATGATCTTCTCTTATTGCCTCTAAAAGTTAGATGGCTGATCTAAGTAAAATAAGAGGGCTCCCACCTTCAAGCCACAGAAATGGGACTCACCACATTTTATTCATAAACATGATAACTAAGTTCTCAACTGAAAAAAGAAACTATGGGGAAACTCATGCAATTTGAGAACTAGCATTGTGTATAGAATGAGAGAGTCACGTATCTGTCCAGGCTACCTTCAGGATTTGATGCCATATGCAAATTTGCATATCTCCCTGCAGTAGTTTTTAAATGATTTAGTTGAATGTAGGCTGCCTATTTTAAAACTCGTCCTTTCACTTTTCTGTTTACTGTATATAAGGCTTGTTGTATGGTAAAGTTTCTTGCTCGAGTTAAATGAGTTTTGTTATAAACTATGTGTGCAGATCTCAAGTGATAGTCTTTTAATAGATGTCAGATACACTTTAATGCTACCCTCTTTTATTTCAGTAACGTTTTAATTAATTCATACTGATTGAATAAATGTACATTGAGACTTGTTTCCTAATGAGGGCACATTTAGAGGAAAGGTTTTGCATCATTCTGATATCCTGTGGGTAATTATATTCTAATTATATGGTGGGGGGAAAAGTCTATAACTCAGTGCTGATATTGTTCATTGGACCCAATTAATTACATGCACATAATGAAAGTTCATGATAAGGTTGACTGGCAGTGAGTTTAAAAATCTTTAACTCAATTGAATCCTAGCCTACCAAGAGTACAGAATTAGATCATAACCAGGTTAAAAACTGAGTATTGGAATGAGATGAGTGAGTAGTCAAGAAAAGATATTGGTCTGTCCTTATGATACAGCTTTTTTGCTTTTTTTCCCTCCTTCATAAGGCAGAAAGGGAAAAATGCTAACATATGTTTTGGCTTCTTCATTTCTTGCCTTACTTTTCTTTCCTCCATTTGCTGATGACCACATAGGATGTTCTAATTCTTATTTATGTATGTAGAAAAATAATTAGATTTTTCCATTTCCCACCAAAGTTATACAAATAGATGTAGCTTTGAGTAGTGGCAAATTAACCAATAGAAGCCTACAATATAATGAATATATAATATATATATATATTGTGATTCTGATTTTCCTATCACTTTTATGAGTTTACTCATATATTTTTACTTAATTTCTAGCACTGTTTTTGAAAACTATAATTAAAACTGTTAATTATGGAATAAAAAGAAAGTCATGGAATAAATTTTAAAACGGAAGGTACACTGATTACAGTCTGAGTATTCCTATATGGCAGTTACCACTGTCTCCATAGTAACCAATTTATTTCAAAGGGCGGGGAGGGTCTGGTGTAATATTGAGAACAGGAAGTGGAAGAAGTAAAAGTTAAGATTGGACACATTTGCTAGTGTCAACTTCATTGTTCAGCATTCTGGGGTAAGGTGGTCACCATGATAAAAAGTTCAGAACACTCACTTTTCTCTTATAAAGGAATTCAACTTTTCTTTTTGTTTAGTGAAGTTACTTATAAAACTTTAGGACAAAATCAGTTAAACACAGCTGATATATGTGATATATATATACCACTGTGATTTTATATACCTAAATGTATGTACTATATTATTTTTATAGAGAAAGTAAATTTATGTGTTATGTGTAAATACATAGGTAATATAAAATAACATATCACAAGTAGAATTCATCTGATCTATTTTCAAGGACATCTGGCTATATATTTTGATGGAGAAGACATCTGATTTGGCTTGCATTTTAGCTTTTATAATACAAGAATACAAATGTATCTTATGTTCTAGTTCTGTTAAAAAAAGTAGTTCTATTGAAGCGTGTAAAACACTATATATAGCAGATGACAAACATTTTAGCTAAGCCAACAAACAATTATTATATTTAGCTTCAAACTTCCATGAATTTGTGTAAGTATAGCAAGCATGTTGAGATGCTGATAGAAAAGATGCTTAGAAGAAAAAAATGATACTATGCAAGAATTTTCTTTGTCAGTATTTAGAGAGATGAAATAGAGTAGTTCATACTTGTGCTATAAGTGCAACATAATTCATTGGGTATTTTTCCATATCTGAAAACGTATTTTTCTAATATAGTCTTCCTGTGAGGCAGGTGAATGTTACTCGCATAGGAATGCAGAAATGCAGAGGGAAAAATAAGGGAATTAGCTGTTGCTAGCTGAAGAATGAGCTTTCTTAATCCCTTCTC